GCGGCCAGATTCTGCCCGTGCTGGAGAGCCCTCGTCGCCAGGTTCGGGTTCTGCTTGACATTCTGGCCAGGATTGACCCTGGGAGAGGTCCAGGGAGTAGCGGTATCCGTGCCTTCGTCTTGGCCACCCCATGATCGGCGCCAGGCCCCTCGCCCTGGCGCGCGGAGCGCGCCAGGGGCGGCGCCGGGGGCGAAGCCAAGAAGTCCAGCGCAGATCCAGGAGATCCGCGCGGTCCGGGGAAAGTTTATGCTTGTGCAGTTGTTTCTTCCTCGAGCTGAGGAAGCAGGGCCTCATCCAGGGATCGACCTGAACGCCGCTTTTCGTTTTCGTGTTGTTTTCGTGGTCCCTCGTTTCGTTCTTCGTCCTCCGCCTCTGCTGCAGAAGAGAGCCGAAACGAAAGCGGCCCACGAGATGGCCAAAACACCGTTCAGGTCGAGCCCTGGCCTCGTCCACGACCAGGAAGGACGCGCCGGAGACCCGCACGGCCCCGAAGACTACGGTGTCCTCTGGCCCGGCCCACTGGCTCTGGTGCCTCGAGCCATCGATGCCAACCCGGCGCACCGTCCTGCCGATGCCCAGGCATCGCCAGCTCGATGCCGAGGCATCACCAGGTCGATGCCCAGGCAGCTGCTGCGCCCAGCTCCGTCCAATGGACGCATCCCCCAATGCACGCGCAGGCATGCCCGTGCGGATGCCCAGGCGTCAGCAGTGGCATGCCTAGGCGTCCACATGAGAGACGATCGAGCACAAGTCCTACGCGAGATGACGCAGCGACCTTATGCGGTGGCTTACGCGGGCCGCTGGCGCGGCACGCTACACTGGAAACGAGAGCGCTCACGCGCTACCTTACGTGAGCAACTTGCGCGTCAATGTCGGAACAGACGGCCCGTTTTTTGGCGTCGCTCACATGGCCATGCCTGGACACGCTACGATGATGGGCAGGCATCGGTCCAACGGGCCTCCTGCCGCCGTCGGGCTTCGCCAGGAGGAGGAGGAGGAGGAGGAGGAGGAGGAGGAGGAGGAGGAGGAGGAGGAGGAGGAGGGAGGAGGAGGAGGAGGGGGAGGAGGAAGGAGGAGGAGGAGGAGGAGGAGGAGGAGGGAGGAGGAGGAGGAGGAGGAGGGAGGAGGAGGAGGAGGAGGAGGAGGAGGAGGAGGAGGAGGGAGGGAGGAGGAGGAGGAGGAGGAGGAAGGAGGAGGAGGAGGAGGAGGAGGAGGGGAGCGGAATGAGGAGGAGGAGGAGGAAGGAGGAGGAGGAGGCCCGGCTCAAGGCGATGGCTGGGAGCAGAGCGGGCGGGCCGACCCAAGGTGTCCTCCGCCGCGCGCCCCGCGACGTGCCCCGTCCCATAGTCGACCTCGACCAGCCGGGCCTTCTGGGCATGAGCTCTCCATGGGGGTCCTTCACCTCCTTCTCCTCCTCTTCCTCCTCCTCCTCCTCCTCCTCCTCCTCCTCCTCCTCCTCCTCCTCTCTCCTCCTCCTCCTCCTCCTCCTCCTCCTCCTCCTCCTCTTCCTCCTCCTCCTCCTCCTTCCATGGGGGTCGCCGCCCCAACCCCCTGGGGCCATGAACAAAATCACGGCAACATGCTATTGCTCTTTACGATGTTCGGCCTCCGGGGGCCCTCGCCGGGCCCAGGCCGAGGATGCAGTCCTGCGCCTCTTGCTGGAGAGGGGAGGAGAGAACGGCACAGGCGTGAGCCTGCCATGCGGCCGCGAGATCTTTGCCCAAGCATGCTCGCGTCGTAAACAAAACATCCGGGCACGAGATATTTTATCTGCTCGGCCTCTGGGGACCCTCGCTGGGCCACGGGACCGTCAACAAACAACTCAGGATGAAAAGCTGGTCCCGGGGACCGGGTCGAGGCCTCCAGGCGTCCGCGTTTGGGCAAAACATTGCGGGTTCACTACTGGGCGGGTCAACTGTGCAGGCTCCCCCCCAGGACCTCCCAGAACCCCTCGAAATGTCCAAACAACCTTCTTGACCGTGGATCCTCGACCCGAGGAGATGTTCACCAACCCAGCGAGGAACTGGGTCCCCCGCGCGGGGCCCCCCAGAACCTCCCAGAAGCCCCATCAAATGCCCACATGACGTTGCGACAAACATGCAACGGTGTGAAAGATCACGACCAGAGCCTTGCACTCCATCTTTCTGCTTCATTTTCGGGCCTCGCCGGTCCGAGAGGGCCACGCGACCCGAAAGGGGGCGAAACCTCCCTGGCGTGAGAAAAAGCCGCAGCAGGCAGCAGGAGAAGGCGGAGGAGGAGGAGGAGGAGGAGGCGGAGGA